TCTCTAAAGTTTATCGTAAAAATATTACGATGTAATATTTTAATGAGAAAATTACTTTCCTTATTTTATGAGTTTAAAGCAAGTATAAAATAGAAGGAATTATGCAATAAATTGAAGATAAAATGAACTTTTGTTAAGTAAGTGAAAATGCGTGATTGTTGGGAAACGGTATATGCGTGATTTTGCGTTAGAAATAGGAAGTAGTATATGCGTTAAAATGCGTGACTGCAGGGGAGGGGGTTAATTTTAATACACTGTATGTACATGTGTATTTTCAAAGTCCTACATATTGAATGTGTAGATTCAATTTAGGCCTAACTTCACAAAGGGGTCTATAAGAATCAGAAAAAAAGAAAGAAATAGCAAGACACAATTGGGAATGTAAAAAATCCCCACATATTGAAACACATTCCACTAGAGAAAAATGAAACAATTTGGAGTACTTGTATAGCTGCATTTCATAAGTCATTAGTTTACACTAGCTACCCAACAATACCTTTTCCTTCCAGTTTTTGAGAATCTTTTCCCTGAGTTCTGTTTCATGATGAAGGAGTTCCTCTTTCCTCCTTTTCTTGCTCTCTATTTTCCTTCGCTTCATTTCCTCCTTGAGCCTTGTTTCCTCCTCTAACTGTTTACGTCGTTCCTCCTCTAGTTCAATCTCCCTCTGAGCTAAGTCATTGGAAACCTTTATATTCTGAAAAATTAACAGCATATATGATAGGATTATTCTTTTAGAACTCATATAACTTTAACAAAATGTTTTGGTTTTTTTTAATGATTTTTTAACTCTGAGGACCACAGAAATCCTGTTACAACTTGTTCAAATTGTGTGAAATTTCAACATTATATAATTATACCTACATTCTACATTATTCCTTTTAGTAATACATATTTGCAAAAGCAGAAAAGCAGTAATTTCTGAAACATCAGGCTTATTTTAACCTATAAATCACTGTTTTGAAATAATGTAAAAAACAAAATTCCTTCCATCCATATACCCATTATTGCTACATACTTCAGCTCAAATATCTGTTTTTGAAACTTAATACATGTACATTTGAGAAAATGAAAGGACAGACTTATAACAGCTGATCACCTTAATTCTAGTAAAAAGTTCTCCTAGTAGGCGGATAGACTCCAGTTTCCTCTGAGCAAGGAGGAAGCGCCTTTCCTCTGTTTGAATTTTGATCTGATATTTCCTCTCTTCCTCCAGCCTTTTCCTCTCCAGAGCTTTCTGCCTCCTCTTTTCCTCTCTCTCTTTTCTTCTGTTCTCCCTCTTCTCCATTTTCTCTAAATGTTTCCTCCTCTTTTCTTTTTCCTCATCTTCTTTTTTTCTCCTGAAGGAACAACATACACATCTAGAAAATAATTGCAGCTTGGCCTTTGATACATAGAGAAAATCAAGTCACTTTTATTCAGTTTCTTAACTGTACAAATACAATTACACATTATGCACTAGTCAGACAGAGAACTTTTTCTGTGGTGGGAATGAGAATGTTGGTCACTGTGCAACTGAATGCTGGAAGTTAATGAAGAAAAAGTAGAAACATGGATATTTTTAGTCTTAAGACTTTTATGTATCTTTTAAGAAAAATATGTACATGCATATACACGTCTCATTAAAATTTTCACTAAATCCAAATAAAGTGTAAACAAACTTTTCTTCCTGTACTCTCCTTTCTTCCTCTTCTCTCTCCTTCCGAACTTTCTCTTCTCTCTCTCTTTCCAGTTGTTCTAACTTTTCACGTTCTATCCTACGTTTCTTTATTGATTTGTCTGACAAATGCTTTGTTTTGTCAAAGTCCACCTGCAAAGATAAAAAGAAGATATACAGTGCTGACATCCATATTTTGAAGAATACTCACAAAATACCTCTAGCTAGTCCTTGAAATGCAACATACAATTTAAAATAAAACACAGCTAAGTTTGGGTTCCCTTTAAAAACATGATTGAAACCGTTTTCTAACCTTAATGTTGGCTGTATATGCTTTCTTTTCATCATCTTCCATTATATACAATAACTTCATTCCTCGTAATGAATCCATGGCTTTCATAAAGCTGATGTAGTCTTTATACTGAACATAAACGTCAAAAGTAATGCCCGTGTTAAAACTGAAAGTCTGCAGTCCACTAGACTTCAGAGTGGTCATCTCTTTCCTATAGGGGTCCAACATGGGAATATCCATGCAGCGCACCTCACCAAAGTTTTCAAACACTCTCTTCACGATTTGTTCACTAGGTTTGTCCTTCTGTCTGTTTGTGAACCACTTTGTAGGCAAGTCTCTCAAATGCACTGTGTCAGGTCTCTCTCCAGGTTTCATTTCATTCATGTTTTTGGCATCCCTGAAAAATGAGTCCCAGTCATGCTGACATGGGTGACTGACCTTGGCCTCAGCAGCCTTGACCTTGAGCACCTCTGGGAAGCCACTGAGTTTAATTGTCTTGGAGTCGAGACATTGTACTATAGCTTTGATTTGTAATTTTGTATCTGCTTCTCCTTCCATCCTCACGAACTCCATGGTGCTCTTGATAATCTTTAGTGATATGAAAGTATGGGGTTTGGCCATGTGTTTGATTTTTTCCATCACTTCCCAATTTGATATAGATTTTCCTGTGAAAACAAAGGATTGTAAATTCATTAAAGGCATTTCATCATCAATTTATATAGTACTGTGTGTGTGTGTGTGGTGTCTTTAATTATTTTATTATATACTAATTTCAGCACCTTGTGTGCAGTCTAAAAAGTACTATGATTCCACAGTACAAGAACTACCATACTTCAGTCATTCCTCTATATAAAGAATTGATTTATGCATAGGGCTGTATCAATATATCGATATATCGATACGTATCGATATTCAAGAAAAATATCGTATCGAAAAATGACTTCCAATACGTATCGGACAGACAGTTTTTCTTCTAACTATATTAAAAAGATGGGAATTTCAATCACCAAAGATTATATTTCACCTTTTTGAATTAAAACTGTTCAATAATTATATAATTTGTAAGGAAATAAGTTCACATAACACAGTTTTTATAATTATTACAAAATACAAAGAGAACTTTATTTGAACATGTTGATTTTTCTGTCATTAAAAGTTTAATTTGAAGTGTTATTTGTAATGACAATGAGACAAGAACATTAAAATGGAAAATAAAACACTTAGTTTTTATGAAATTCATGCATTAAAATGATTTAGAAGCCTTTTCTGATGGACTTGTTTTAGAATCCAATATATCGCATATCGCTTTAAAAAATATTGTATCGTATCGTATCGAAATTTTTGGCTCAATACACAGCCGTATTTATGCAATACATGTGTCCTATTAATGCACTGGTGATATATTTTGGAAATAAACTTAAGTCATTCACATTCACATATTATATTTCTAGTTTATGACCTACCCATCTCTTTCAGTTTTGGCAGCTGTACACATACTGTCAGTTTAGAGATGGGCTTTAAGTACAGTCCCTGGGCTTTAAACAGCTCTACAGCTTCTGAGGTATCACTGCATAAAGTTGTTGTCCCAGCCATTGTTAGGAAATTATTCTGCAACAGTTACATGATATATTATTACATGTATGTTTCATTTGCTTCTTTTGCAAATACAGTTCTGTTTTTTCTGGATAAATAGTGTATTCACAAATTTTGGCAAATTCTGGAAACTGGTACTGTATAATCTTTAATAATTGTATCATTTACAAGTTTACTTCAATATATATAAAAAAGATGAGTCTGGGCGTACAAAGATTTATTTGCAATGCACAGTGAATAGCTCAACTTAAAGTAGAATAAAAACACAAAGAACATACATGTGAATGTACATGTAACCTCCCATATGTGCTAAATTATACAAAGTATACAGACTGCAGTAATACTACTGGTGGGGGTGGGTGGGTTTTGCGAATAGCACAAGTAGCTCGTAGTTATCAATTGCTCAAAGGCGTACTAAAAAAGGCGCTCAAGTTAACATAATGACGTAACAGCATAACATAACTGCCTGAGTAAAAAAGGCGGAAAAACTATTTCCGTAAACCTCATTCATTTACAAGAATTAACATTTTACTTCAATATATATAAAAAAGATGAGTCTGGGCGTACAAAGATTTATTTGCAATGCACAGTGAATAGCTCAACTTAAAGTAGAATAAAAACACAAAGAACATACATGTGAATGTACATGTAACCTCCCAGACCCATGTAAATAATGTGTGAAAGAGGAGAGGGGGACTAAAACCTCAAAAAAAACCCCCAAAACCCCCCTAAAGACTGAAAGGTAGTCCTCTACCAAACTGGTACATTTTTTCGAACTTTTGGTCAGTGGTAGACTCTAAGTAGCGCAGATAGGCGTTGCTCTTCCAGAAGCCCAGTTCCTGTATCAACTCGCCTTGTAATCCTTGCTGGAAGGCCCAAGTGGCCCCTCCCCTTCGAAAGGAGTGCCCAGTTATATCCACTCCAGGCAAGACTCTCCGCAGTCGCGACAGAAACCAACTATAAGACAGGGGTTCGCCGTTTGCCTTCTGTAGGAGGGGTGAGGTGTCAGACGTTAAAGGGTCAATGAAGAGCAGATGAAATAAGCTGCGCAAGGCACTGGCTGGGCACAGTGGGTGACCATGCAAGTCAGGAAGTGTAACTTGAAGTTGGTGCTCTCGGAATTGCAGGGTCTTGGTCCAATTCAGGGATAACAAGAAGCCCTTGGCATGTGGGCTTATATTTTGAATACACAAATCACGGTCTGGAACACAGATAGGTCCCTGAGATAAGAAGTTTCCAGGCCGCAGAAGTCCAAAGAAGGCGATAAGGCATGCCGTCCAAAAGGACAAGTCCTCCTTCAGATCTAAACATAGGGAACTCCTAATCAGTAAGAGATGTCTAGGCTGAATAGGTGTCGCTGCTCCCTGGGCATCACCAAGTTCACGTTTTGCTCCCTTCAGGGTTTGCTGAATGGACCACACTCCATGAATAGGGTCATCTAAATCATTAGCACAATGTAAATGTTTCACAATGTTCAGGTAATTCTTGATGGTACTATACTTAAAGGACTTCACATCCACCAAGTATGCAATGTATAAGATAATCTGCTCAGGTGCTGCTGGTACTCCAGGTAAGTTAACTTTAGCACAAAAGTCCAGATAGCAGGTAAGTTGGGCTTGGTAAGTTTTCTTGGTGCTAACCGCCCATCCCTGGGTCCTCAGGCGACTGGCTGCCATGCGCAGTGCTTGACGAAGCTCGGCCCCATCTGCAATAAATAAAAGCAGATGACATGTGTGAGACCAGTGCTTTTACTGTGAAAGGTACAATGTATGACCCATCAAATGGTAATATTTCATAGAGCTTAGTGAGCATGTAAGGTTCACTTAAACGCGAAATCACATCTGCTATTGTGTTCAGTTTACCCTTTACATAGGATGCATAGACACTAAAGTTATAAAATGCTTGAGTCCAGAATAAGCTTCTGAGCCATTCCATAATAAAAGTATTTCTGCTGGAACCTTTGTTTATGTATGCTTTAGCAGTAGTATTGTCCGTGTACACTATAACTTTTTTGTTCGCAAGCAGAGGTGCCCAACGTTGTAATGCTAGGATTATAGCCACAGTTTCCTTGGTATTAATATGCTTGTCTGCGACTTCTGGCACGTCCAGTGTCCAGTTCACATAAAAGTAATCACCGCTAAAGTAGCCGCCGCCTCCTGCATTGCAAGCATCCGTCATCAAGGAACGAACAGGACGTGTCTCTAAAAAATGCACTGTTCCGTTGAATATGGGGAGGAACGCTATCCACCACTCCAAGTCTTTTCGAAAACAATCCAAAAGTACTTTGTCCGATTGGCGGTGTAAGACATTTTTAGCGTTGATCACACGACGTAGAAAGGTGCGGCCACCTTGTATCACCTGACAAGCCCAGTTTAGTTTACCTATCAAGGACTCAAGTTGACGTTTACTTGCTCGCTTCTTGGTTTGAAAGGTCATCAGGAGGTCTTGAAGCGCTTCCATTTTGTCCTGAGGAAGTGAGAGGGTAAGATCACAAGTGTCTATCTTCACACCAAGAAAAGTCAGTTGTTGGCACGGTCCTTCCACTTTGTTCCAATTGATACAGAACCCTAATTGTCTCAATGTTTTGATTAAAACTTGTAAAGCAAACAAACATTTCTCAAAAGTTTCTTCGATAACTAAAAAATCGTCAATGTACACAATCACTGTAACACCATACTGAAATTTCAAAATTCTACAAACACAGCTAGACAATCTTTGAAAAATGCTAGGACTCTTAGCAGCCCCGAAGGGTAATTTTGCATCATATATATACGTTGCATAACTTTCATTTGAAAATTGCCACTTTAAACCTGTAAATCTGTAATTACTAGGGTGAATGTTGACTGACCTGTAAGCACTTTTAAGGTCAACTTTGGCTAAAAAACAGTTTCTAGAGATCAGTTTACAAGCATGGGTAAGGTCCATATATGTACATGAAGTATCTGAAGTATAGTCATTTAAGCTTTTGCCAATAGGTCGACTAGCATCGTGAATGAGCCTAACCTTGTTAGAGGACTTAGGAATAGCGCCAAGCGCACTAACAATATTCATAGGTTTACCGCATACAACATAATTTCCATGCAAAATCTCATAATTAATTTGTGACTCAACCTGATCATGAAAAACTAAAGAAGATTTATAATTGCTACATTCAACATAAGTATCAAGGTCTATAACATTGTCAACAATATGAAAACCCTCCTTTACGCCCTGCAAGATGAATTCTCTATCAAAGTCATCAGGGGGGATAAGTTTTTCCCAGGCCGATAGCTGCAGGTCGTGGGATGGAGGGTTGCCTATGCGTTTTTGAGTTGGCTTGCGTAGCAAGCTAATCCCTGTTGACATAGCCGTTTCAGAGCTGTAAAATTTTTCACACATTCATAAAGGTGATCCATACGCCAAATATGATAGTTCTAGCAAAAAATGCTCTTGTTTGAGTGATTTTATAAAATTAGGAGGTAAAAACTGCATAAGATATCAGACTGTTACATTTTTTATGTCTTCATGCTTTTAAAGAGATTATTGTTTAAATATCTGTAAGATGTACAATTACTGCGTATGAATATGTTCAAGCATGTTAGGCGGATCTAATCTTCTCATCTGAAGTTTGTTTATAATTGACCTAGAATACCCCCTAACACAAACACCTGATGCTCTCATTAATTGCAGCTAGTGTGCTTGAAAAATCTATTTTTAGAATCCAGATTTGCTGTGGGAATCTTTAAACTAATTACCCCATAACACTGACCACTGCAGCTAGTGTGCTTAAATAATACATTATGGAATCCAAGATTTGCAGTGCTGCTTATCACAATAATATGTACGGAAGCCCATTAGTGCCAACCTGTACAAAGGAAAAGCAATTTTGTAATACACTTTATTTTTTAACCGAACATGGAGACATATAATAATCAATCTCTTAAGATGCAAAATAAACTGAATATAAGGTATGGTGTCCAGATGTATGAAAAAGCTCAATGAACTCGAGCAAGTCAACTCACAGGCCCTTCAGGCCTTTGATTTGGATCTGTCGTTGTTTTTCCTGCCAAGCCATGCTTCACTGCTGGATGATTAGGCCCATAGCAAATAAAACAATTGTGGGCTAGCCTACAGTCTGAACGCACACAGTTGTCTTGGTTAAAACGACGGCATATTTCTCGTCCATTCGGTAAGAATGGTCCTCGTCCGCGTTTGTTGGGTGCTAACGTTGTTGGCTGGTGAACTGGCTTCTCCGCTGTAGCTGTTTTGTCCACTTGCTGTCTATACATGTGCGAAACTGTCTGTGTGGTAGAGTTGTCCCGCTTAGGTATTAGATTAAACTCTCGAAGTTGAGCGCACGGAGTGTTCCATAAGTAAGAGTACTTTGACTGATTTTCACGGTATTCTCTATCATACAGCAAAACGCTTGGCCACACATAATTAGCAGCTAATCTGAAGACAGACTGGGTGTAGCGTAAGTAGTCTTGAGACTGTCTTAAAGTACAGGTACCATCTGCTATCATCTCAAATAGAATTTGGAGGCTTGCGTACCCCCACTGCTCTACCGTTACATCTCCTAGGGATAGCTTTTTCTCTCCTACGTTCAATTTGACTCCATTGCCCATATCAATCGTTTTCGATTCGTCTAACAAGTCTCTCGTTCCAGTCCAAACGTAATCTTGAATTTTCCTAGCTTTCTTAGACGTAATAGAATTACCTTGAAATTCCTGTGGAACTTCCCGAGTCCAAGTCCTCGTTTCCGTTTCTAGTGGGGCTTGCAGCAGTGCCTCTACGGGACGGGGGGTTGCAGCACGCATCTCGGTTTCCTTTTGTATTTGAGTCTGCAAGTCGCGGTATTTATTCTCCAGTTTCATCTGCTGTAGCTTTCTCTCGAGATCTTGGCACTTTGATTCGAGGTCCGCTATATCACGCGGGGAAGCAATTTTTTCGTGTTGACCGTCCTGACCTTTTGCTGCTGGCGAGGGTCGAACTGGCGTGGTATCGATATCGGTCGTTTCGTTTTCCTTCAAGGACTTCATGATTTCTAACATTTTAGCCCCTGCGTTTGCCCTTCGTTCTCTGTCTACCATTTCACTCTGTATGAAAACGCAACTGCGATGTTTTTGCGAATAGCACAAGTAGCTCGTAGTTATCAATTGCTCAAAGGCGTACTAAAAAAGGCGCTCAAGTTAACATAATGACGTAACAGCATAACATAACTGCCTGAGTAAAAAAGGCGGAAAAACTATTTCCGTAAACCTCATTCATTTACAAGAATTAACATATAAAATTTATGTGAGCAGCGGGTGGTCTTGCTGTTTAAGATGAAAATGAAACATTTTACAAAATAAAATGGATTAACAGTAAGCATATCCATCTTCAACTCATCTTTCCTCAACCTCAATCCATCATTTAAAATATTTAAACAATCTAGGGAAATGATACCCAGAGTACTGTATGTATTAACATGATTAAGAAGAATATTCTATGGTCAAAATGTTAATCGCCTTGACAAATAATTCATTCCCTGTGTTAGCGTTGTCGCAAAATAATAAGCTCCAAATAATTCTAATCCAATTTAGATTAAATAAATATATATATTTCATATATGGCAAGTGCAATTCGCCATATGATAGAACTTAAATAGAATGTTATTCACTCATTTTTGAAGCTAGATCTCACCCGACACCAGTAGGAAAAGTGAGTGTCATCTTGAAATTAAACACCTATAATAAAAATCTGCAACATTGTTCCACTTCACCAAAAAGATTTTTTTCTTCAAAACACCACAGACTTGCAAGTAAATTTCATTGTCTACATTCGGCCTGCTGGTGATTTTAGTATATACCAAATGGAAAGAAAAGAAAATATTTTAATCCGTACATACATTATTTTATCGAACTTCCATCAGATCTCTTTCTGGCATCTTGTTTTTTAAATTATTCTTAGAAGTAATTTAAAATCTTTGAGTCCTTGGTCAATCTGCAATCAAACCGGACACAATAATAGCACTGTAAATAGAAAGACTGCAGGTAGACCTATAATATTCCGGAAAAATTAAGTGAAAGATTGGCAGTCTCTGAAACATAACAAAAACCGGAAAATGATATCAGAAATTGATATATATGTATGTTAAACTCGGAATTCATGTATTTTTATATACCCGTAATGGAAGATTTTTACCCTGTCCGTCTGTTTGTGTTTGTCCGAAAAAAAACTTTGAACTCTGTTCATAACTTTTGAGTAGATGGATATAAATGTTCATGTCTAATAAAAATTCTTCGAAGGAGTTCAACAATTTGGAACAATTTTTGGAATCATTTTATTAGATGTGATGACTCAATTAATACATTTATAGAACCAAGAATTTCCATTATCTCTGAAAAATACAAAAAATCGTGTAAAATGTTTATAGAATTATATTTAAAACAGACACTCTATAGATATATTAGGAAAAAAAATGTTATGATTGAACCCTCTTGAATATTAAATTTTGCATGAAGTTCTCCTCCTTCTTTTTCTTCGTTTTCTTCTTATAACTATTAATGTACATGACACCATTGTTAAAGCACATGTTCAAAAGGTTAAAATCATGCTAATGAAGGCCTCGTTAAAATCTGGATAAAATCATTAATTTCTAAAAGGAGTAGGAGCTGAGGGTAAGATGAAAATGTTCACCTAAAAACATCGTTTATCAAAGTGTGACACATCTGTTTCATATTTGGATATCTAACAACCAAGCTCTATGATAAACGCGATGACTTTATATCTTTTTTTATCGTCAACTTCCCTTACTTATGCAGCACTATATCTTCATTACCTGCATACGGACTTTATATATCTCAGTTGCACCTCGATACGCAATATCATGTTCTACGTATGAAAAATTTCTAAAACGAGGTAAATTATTGACAAACAAATTGATGAAACAAGACTATTAGCAGTCTCGGTTAAAGGCATCATTTCGTGAGTTCTATTGTCGATCAGTACAATGACCTTGTCAGCAAATACAATTTATCATTGAGTAAATGCTGACTGACGTTTAATTGTTAGTCCATTATTAATACACTGAATTGACGAACGGATTTTTCCGCTATTTCCCGTTCATGACAAGGAGCACACGGCGGGTGTGACCGGATCCCACTTCTGGTGTTTTGGAGGTCCGTGTTTGCTCTGCTCCAATTTTGTATTGTTTTATGGACTTTTGATCTTGAATATTGTTCTTTTAAATTTTCTATATACATACCGGGTATGTTATGCGCATCAAGGCGCATCTTCGCTAGCCAAGAAGCCTCAAGGGCTTGTGAAGAGAAGTGAATCATTCAGCAACATTACAAACTCTTTGCTAGCTAAGATGACCGAGGCGCAGCATTTTTTATTGTATTTTTTGATATTTATTATTAATGTTTTGCCCTGTCCGTCCATTTGTTTGTTTGTCTGGCCGCAAAAATTTTAATCTTGCCAATAAATTCTGAGTGGTGGGGCTGTGGCTTTCATATTCCACAAGTGTAACAATTTGTGAAAGACCTGTATACTTAAGGTAGGATTCTTCTCATACAAAACTGTATTTCTTGTACTTAAAAATTAATGAAATTTTCACAGAATCAAGAAGACAGTCTTACTAAGTGATGGTATTAGTTAGATTAGTTTTGACCTTTTTATATTAGAGTCAAGGTCAGATCAAGGTCATAACCTTTTTTCCCTGGTCATAAGAATAAAAATAACTACACCCAATCAAGAGATAGGGTCTTCTATTGCAAAAGATTAATTTTTTTTCTTTTTGCATAAAAAGATATTACCATATAGGGTCTATAAGATGATGTTACCAAATTGACACAAATAGTTTAACAAACATGGATTTTGGCCATTCCGACATTCTCTATTTTTCTTAAATGTTTAGGACATTTAAGTTATTTTTATACACGTTATATGCGCACTATATTTAACTTTTTCTTATTTTAACATATGGCCATGGTAAAGCAGTCATATAGAGATACAAAATGATACAAAAACAGAAAGTTTTGACCGTTTAGTAAGAGAGTAAAAACACTTCCCATGGATTTTTGGCTCATATCTGTACTTAGAGTCGAAATTTTTAAAAGCTAACATAATTGTAGTTTGTATTGAAATTCATATTCATTTGATATATTTTAAAACTTTAGTTCCTTATTATTTATTTAGCTAACATTTGACAAATTCTTCTAGTCTTTGATTGTGTAAAAATTATAACTAAATTAGCAGTTCTATAATAATTTCGAGAGACAGAAAAGAAGATAATTTCATACACCACCATTCCGCCAAAAATATAGTCCCTGCTAGTTTTCAAACACAATTGACCATTTCTATTTAAAGTTGTACAATTGTGATGAGGAAAGAAAAATATGGTCTTTTAAATCTCTTTCACCTAAATATATAAGACATATAAGCAAATATACATTAAATATTTCATCTACTCAGAAACCAGAGAAGAATCCTACCTTAATTCACATGTGCATACATTGTGACAGGATCTGTTAATGGTTATAGATATGTTTTACCTTTTGACCTTGCTTTTAGAGTTTGACCCACAAACTTAAACCTTGGCCATACGTTTGGAACAGTAAGGTCTAGGGCTTTAATTCGTATTTTACAGGTGTAGTCCTTGTGACAAGACTTTTCTTTTGGGTATCAACAATTTTGACCTTGAAATTTGACCTTCTGTTGAAAAAAAATTCCCCTTAGCCATAGCTTTTGAACAGTTGGTTTTAGGGCGTTTATATTTCACTTGAATAATTTATTATAAGGTCTTTCCTTGGGTACCAAAAGTCCCCCCCCCTTCCACACCGCTAATTTTTACCCTGTGACCTTGAAGTTTGACCCACTTTAACGAAACTTAATTTTGGTCATAACTTTTTTAAGATTGGCTCTTGGGCTTTCATATTTTAAATATATGTTTATTGACACCTCATATGTTTTGGTAACAACATTTTAATTTAATGTTAGACTTGCATTTGAGAAACTTCAACACTTGCCGAAAGCTGCCATACGGGGCATCGGTGTTTCACAAGCACATCTGGTTCTATATGGAAGAGAGACAGGTGAATGGCAAGAAGGATAGATTTATATGTTTTGACCCCAAAAAAATCATTGTACAGTTGGACGATAAAATGTTAATATTCCCGAGATTAATCAGTGTGCAAAACGGACCTTTTAGATTATATAACTGTTCACAATTGATTTATCATGATATTTAATTTTTCATGTCCCCGTAATTATAACTTTTGAGTGGGTTGGGCTATGGCTTTGATATTTCACGTATTCCTTGTATTCACTGCTTTAAAATGGCAAATTACATTTCAAATTTTTTGCTTGCAGCTAAAATACCTAAGAATTTGGATCAAATATTTTATCTTGACATTAAAGTTTGACTTGCTTTAAATAAAATTCAGAATTCGGTGAATTAATTCGATCATTGGTTCCAGAATTTTTTTGTTTAGAAAAAGGAAAGGCAGCTAAAATACCTAAGAATTTGGAAGACACTGCTAAAACTGTATTAAGGTAGATCGATACTACGTTTACTGCACTCTGCTACTTCTTTTGTGCCTATTATGACGTCACGTTGTGTCTGTGACGAAATACATCGACCGGGTATAGATTACAACTGACCGGGTATAGATTTGCAACTGTCCCCGCCTTCACGTGACAGACTTTAACCAATCGTAAGCCAGGATTTCACGGAAAAATCAACAGAGGTATATAGCTCCCCGAGACCGAAGATTTTACCCTTTTAGTCCTTCTGTCTGTCTTTGGCATATTTACTGTAGCTTTTGTTGATTTAAGAGAGAGAGAGAGAGATTCAGAATTGTTTTCCCAGTTTTATACATGGAATGACTTCAAATGTTATACAAACAGTAAAGTGTTCAAATCATACGGTATAATTAATACATAATCTATATGCAGCAATAAATCATAACATACTTAGTAACAATAAATAAATATACCTCAAATCAGAAAACGATCCCAAAGAATATGAAATATAAGGTTCCTATTTCTTCTGCATGGAAATAGTTTCCTGATAAATTGATATATATCACAACCTTTTGTATGCAATTCTATTTTGTGAAATCAAACAAGTAAAATAAGGCCAAAAAAATTAATCAATAGTTACTCAGGCCAAAAAAAAAATCAGAATTCAATGCAGCTGGCAGGCTTTTTTTTTTTTTTTTTTTTTTTTTTTTCAGGTTTAACACCTTTTTTAAAACCATTTGTTCAATAAAATAATATCTACCAATTCTTAATTTTGTTCTCTGAAATTGGTTGTAATATGTATTCAACTTTAAATAATGTTACTCCAAACATTTATTTAAAAGTTAATTAATAAAATCCTGAAAATTCGGAAGAAATGTATTGTTTTTCTAATAAAAACGTCTATCTTAGCATTTATGAAAAGGGGAATAACTAGATTTTCTTTTTCAACTTGGAAAAATAGAAAATTGATTTATTTCCCTTTTCAAACTGTTGATTAATTTTTTTTTTTTTGGCCTAAGATAACAGATACCTTAATTTGTGTGATCTAATGTACAGATCCTGAAATGCAGAACAAATTAAGGTGAAATATCCCTCTGCTCCAAATTTCACAATTTTTTTTATTTCAAACTTGATTTTCGTCATCAGTAGCACTTGATTCCAGTGAAAAATTGTTTGAAGTATGAAGCATCGCTTACTTTTTCAGAAATTAATATTATTTCTAATCATGATGTGAAGAATAATATGGTAAATAGATAGATCAATATTTTCTTTTATCTCAAGATAAAATATTAATTATGAGGTATGTATGAAAACAATAATGTCATACCTATCTAATTCACCTTAGTTAGAGTACATAATGAAGTGTTACTTTTAAGTCAAAATATCACATTATTTTCTGTGCTTGCAAATAAAATGCATCTATTTACAAGAGTTTTCTTTCCTTCATCGTTCTTGAAAATATTTTTAGTAAAAAAAAGAACTAATAAATTGATGATAAAAAATTCTGCATCTGAAATTTCTGTAACAATTGAAAGATTATATGTAAAAAGATAGAAATATCTCAATTGTCACAGCTTAAAGGTATTGAGTATAAATGTTTTAGGTACAATATTAAAGGTAATTACTAAAAATGTTGGAAACAGAAAATAGAAATCATCATTTGTACCATAGATCAGAATTGAATGAGTTGACTTTGAACTAGTCCTGATTTATAAACTCTGACAAGAAAATTCCTTGAATAACAGAATTACATGGAATAAATTCCTCCGAAAGTTATCTCTCTTATCAGAGGGATATTGCACCTTAAAGAGTAATGTGTGAGATCAAGAAGCATGCATCCTCCCCGTTTTACGATACCTGCTGTAAGGAAAAGATAATTTGTGTTAAGAAAGATAACTCAAGTTTACAGGATGGGAGAATTCATCTCCATATTACACGTCCCTTCATCAGGAGACTAATAAATGCAGGTACATTGGTTCATTGTTCCATTATGTTAAGTCCAAAATATTCTTAAAAATTCATCCTGGATATACATATTTCACTAGATGAATGCAGTATCTATGTAGGAAAAAAATATGATCATGGATCCAATTTAAATGCAAAATTTGTGGCAATAATCATCTAAACACTTTAAAAAAAATTTGAAATTACATTTATTAAATATTAATGTCTTGAAAATCATATTAGGATTAACGAAATTTAACTACATATATTGTATCAACTTGTAGAAACAATAATTTCACTATCTGTTATTCTTTTGTTTTTCAACATGGATTAAATCCAAATCAGAATTATTTTCATGCATGATTTATACATGTATATATATAAATTTTATTTAATAAACATCTATAATAATTATTTTCTTCTCTGTACATGTAATATACATGTAGTCATTAACTTCAACATAAAGTTTGAATCATGTTTGATAGAGCCTTTTGCATAGTAAATCATTTCCAGACAAAACTTCTACATTCAATACAAACAGCAGATCTTTGATACCACTGCATGTTTATCACTTAAAGTACAATTTGGTAAACCTTACTTCTACCACATACACCCATTTTCAGTAGGAATGACTTTGTAGAAATACAAGTATTTTTAAACATGATAAAGTGAGAAAAACTGATTACATACACTAATGAATAAAACAAAATGTATGTAACACAGTTACACATATACCTTAAATCTTAAAGTAAAAAATTCTAGAAAATGTTTAACAAATAACGTTATACTTATTATTTTATCCACAAATTATGAATTTCATAGCTAAACAAGTTATACGGTATAATGTAGGTTGGGTCAGTTAACGCTAAATACAAACTTCACAGCGATTTATAAAAATGAGTTTACTGTTCCAAACCAGGTTATACCATATACTAGTAACTTAGCTATTAAAAAATTCATTCCTTATAATTCAATTTTCTACCATTCAGTTTTACTGTGTAACAAAAAAAAGAAGACAATTTCACATCAAATCTGACATAAAATTATGCAAAATTTGAACATGTTAAATGTTACATCAAGCAGATTAATACAATTTTGACAAAAGTCATTGTAACATCTCCAACACATATTATACAATACATGTATAAACTAATTTTTCAGCCAATCAAAAAGTGTGTTACAACCAGAAAAAAATTATTTACATGTAACAGTATGATCATGCTTGTGAGCAGTGAAATTGAGGTAGATGAAACTGGTGTGCATTTGGTTATCTATGGAAAAAGAACTACCGGTATACTCTGAAAGAAAAAATGTGTTGCAATAAACATTATAGAGATCCTATTGCAGCTGCAGCTTTTAGACATTTTACATGTGTATCAGTAAGACACACAAAAGTATTTTCACAGTAATTTTAGAGTAACATGATATTTTAATTTCAATAGGATTAGGAAGAGAAAGTGATGCACAGATGTTAAAATATGTAATATTTGTAAATGGAAAAATCATCTCTACTCAAGAGGTATGTGGTTAAAAAAATCTCTGATAGTCATAAACAATAAAGCAAACTTTGTGACAGTCACTGGGAAGTGATAAACAGCTTTTAACATTGAAAGAAATCATCTGACATTTTTTGCTTAATAAAACAACTAACAACATGAACAAATTTTGTGTTGCATAAATTATGGAAATTCCAGAGGGTTGTTTTTATCAGGGGTGGAAATTTTGATGCCATGTATTTTCCACAAGTGCCTTGTTTTACTGTCTGCTCTTGAATAGAATTTGCCACAGACATTGCACTCAAAATGAGGAATGTCTCCACAGTTGTAGCGTTCGTGTCTCATCTGAGATTTCTTGCTGCTGAATCCTGAACCACATTTACTGCACCGGAATACCTTGCCCTTGCTGTGAAGCAGATTCGGAGAAATCTTTTTATTCCTATGTTTACCAGCGGAAACTTTTTCTGTTATTGGACTTTCTGAGACTTCTAGAGGATCTATTTCTTCCGTTTCTTGGAGAATGGAATCTGTTTCAGCAGTGCCGTCTCTCTCCGCTTCTGTTTCAGCAAAGCTGTGTACTGGCTTATAATCCGAGGCGTACATAGCTTGGAATTCATCTGTATCCTCACTGTCCCCATCCAAATTAAACTGATTTTGATCCACAGAATTTCCTTCATTTTCATTTGAATGGGGAAAACAAACTTGTGTGTCATTCTCAATACCACTTACATCTTTTTCAAACTCATTTTGCAGATCTTGCAAGTGAACAATTCTCCTCGGATTTTGCTTTCTCTTTGGTCGACTTGAGTACCTTGGTGGGTTTGTATCTACTTTTTCACACGGTTCCTCTTTACACACATATATCACTTCAGGAGCAGGGAATTCCTCGTCTTGCAGTGATATGAAGGAATTTTGATCCATCTCACTGGGTATCGGATCATTGTTAAAATGGTGGTCATCGGAGGTATCAAGACCATTAAATTCCTCTCCACCTTCTGACTTCAATTCATCTCTGTCTGAATGACTGCTATTTGTATTTTGTAGAGAAATAAATTCTATCTCTTCCTCTTTTTCTTGAGAATGGGTAGAAAGACTGGCTTCAGCTTCTTGGTCAATTTCATTTGAGGGATAAATAGGAATGTAGTTTTGCTGTCTAGGAAACCTTGGTACAGTAGAAGAATTTCTATGGTGCTGTTTCCTTAAAAGCTTTTGTCTTTTGGAATGCCTAAACTTTGCTTTTTGCTCCAGAGGTATATTAGCTGTTCTTTTCTGTCTGTGTTTGAAATTATGTGAAGGCAAAACTTTGTGGATTTTAACGACTTCCTGATTGTCAGAATTAAGAGTGGACAAACATATAATGGCGTCTACTTCCACATCCCCACAAGCCTGGTAATGCTCCTCACATATCTGTAAGATCACAGACTGCAGTAGATGACACACATCCTCTTTAGGACGTTCTTTGTAATCATCCATGGTCAGACTTTGAGCATTTATCTATAAAGAAAAAAAAGATTTCTTTATATAAGAATATGGCTAAGGAATCGAAGTATTTATGAAAATTTAGCTCGAATTTCCTCAGCATATTTCTAGATTATCTCGTTTATTTCAAGTGAATGACTTCAAAATCCTATATAAAATTCAGCTGAATTTACGACAATAGTTTATTGTGTTAAAATAACAAAAACAATTATCATATTATTTGCCATTAAAACGTAGTATCATAAAAAGTACCTTGGTCAGTTACTTTACCATGAACGCCTTCATCTTGAAATTCCCCGGATGAGCAGATGAGCAAGTAATCGATTACTATTGCGTGCTCGCAATGAAAGATATTTATACGCTGCGTGGCGTCAACATGTCCGCAAAAATTCAAGCCTCGTGTTTCACATAATTTTCCCGAAAGAATTTTGCGCCACGTGCATGAATACATGTATTTGCTTGTTGATTTATCATTTTTCTTCATTATTACATGTGTGCGTTTCTGTAAGAAAATGTACATTGTAAGTCTGTATAACAAGTATTTGAGGACAGAAAATACCAAAACATGAAAATTGAAGAAAATTGTCAAAACGCCTTGAACAAAAATTAATCCTTAATTTTTCACGTGTGTATACATGGTGTATAGGCGTGCCTTTATACATATGTTACAGTAAATATTCAAACTTATTTAGTGAAAAAAAAGGTTTTTCTATTTTGAACCATTAAAATTGTGTAGGTGGGAAATTCTAAAAGTAAAGTTTCATCTTGAATTACCAATTTCAATATGAAAATTTTTCAAGAGACAGCGTGGGATAAATAAATGCAAAGAAGCGTTTTATGAATATCTAATAAAATAAGAAATAAAATTAAGCGATTTAAGTTTTTTAAAATAAAAAGTACCGTATTTAAATAACAAAAATTCCAGAAAATGTAAGCAGTGTAATTTTTTTTTGGTCATGTGTGTAAAAATTTATAAATATATAAAAGTTTATTTCAAATATTATTTATTCACATGTGACGTGCTAACTGATGTAAGCATTGAATGTACTGTGCATCTGTTCATATTTATGATTCATGTTTTAAATTATCTCACCAAAACACAGTCAGTAAATATGTGTAAAAAGTATTGCAAAATTCAGTGAATACGTATATAAATCAGTAAATACATTTCCTAAGCTTGTATATATGTACATAAATGTCCTGATTACAAAGATTTACTGTAACATATATATACAATGTGTATATATGTCAGTGTATCTCAGTGAGGCATATATTGGGAGTTCCAATTTTACCACCTTAACCCGATTTCACAAGACAACAACAGAAAGTGTGGTGAGCCTTTAAATAAACATTTTCAACAATAAACAGAACTTTTATGTTTCGAAAAAGGAGGCGAGCCCCCCCCCCCTTTTCTTTCGATGAGTACGCATTTGCCTATATGGTGAAACTTGGCTCTTTTCGGGAAAAATAAGGTACGCAGGGGCGTAGCAACCGGGGGGGGGGGGGGGGGGCATTTTTTTTCCCAGCCTTACTTATACTATAGGAAATGTTAAAATTGAAAGTCTTGTTGGCCCCTACTTTTAGTGATGTACCGAAAATGTACTATTAGAATTGGTACTAAAAGTAGTTGACACTGAGAAAAAGTCCCCCCCCCCCCCCCACGAAATAGGATTTTCACGTTTTGGCAACTTTTTCCTTTTTTTTTTTATTTTTTTTTTTTTTTTTTTTTTATTTTTTTATTTTTTTTTTTTTTTTAATTATTTAAAAAAAAAATTTACCCGGGGGGGGGGGGGCCCCCCCCCCCCCCCACTTTCAAAAACGATGCTACGCCACTGGTACGTACTAAACCATATACACCAGTTAAAGCAGAAAGAAAGGGGCCAGCCCAATAGATCATCAGTACCTGTAGCTAATTAAGTCAATCCGAAGAAACATTATCTTCCATTGTTCCAGAACAATTTCTTATTGAGTTCTAAGAATTGTCAACACAAGCACTTGACCTAAAAGAACACACTTGTTGTAAAGCTTCAAACTGACCGCAAATAAATAATGTTTGTTTGCCCTCTCGCGCCTCAGGGTAAAATTATTAGGTTGGTAGGTAGTTGGTAATTTTTTTTTTCAGACAACTTCAACACATTTGTTGATGGGATAAAAGGAAGAAAAAATATCGTGTCTTGGAATGTTAAAAAAAAGAGAGTTCTTGGTAGGGCCATATTTAGTCAGTTGGTCGGGAAAGGGCAACAGAATACATTTTTTTTAATCTTACATGCAGGGAGATTTTGTGTCCAATCACTTGTTTGTTAAAAACAAGGGAACATAAAATGGGAAAGAAATTTAACGAGAATTAATAGTGTCGTTATTCAGTATTATTTTCACTATTATTTTTTATACCCAATCACTTGTTTTTAAAATTTTCTTGACAAATAATAAGAAAAAACTTTATACACTTTTCAGGGAAAAAATAGCAGGAACATTTTGTAGATATAATTAACTTTTTTCATACACCTAGTTATCAAGCGAAGAAACAGTGGAAAGTTGATAACCTGGGTTAATTAGTATAGTTTATAGCAGTTCTACCAGTTAAAATAAGCATGTAAGGCTAATTTCACCCTTTTCGTCGACAAAAACAAAACCTCACCTAGAGCTGGAATTCACTTTGCTACACGTAAAGTTTTCTAGGGTAATTATTCAGAATATACGTGGGTTTATCCTTCTTTAATCACAGCAGCTATAATATGGTCCATTGCATTCAATATATTGCTAAGATCAGGATGAAAGATCGAGTACAAATATCGTTTAATCGATGCTGATATAAATTATAATATGCATTTGTAGTGTGATCCTATTTAAAACAAAGAAATTCACTTTTGAATATTGAATAACAACAACCTCTGTTTCCTACCAAATTGGCTTCTACATTTCTCAGTTGAAAATGGCAATGCTTACCTTGCTTCAGTTATCAATCATAAAGCCTCGACCCCCACCACCACCTCCACAACCACAAGCCACCCCCAGTCATTGACTTCATTTATTGAATTTTATTTTTATCTCTAACGATGGGCATTAATTGTGCTCCTTAATAAGTTGTTCTGTTTTTATATTCCCATGAAGCAGAATTTATTATTATTATTATATTATATATATATTTATAAATATTATATTATATTTATTATTATTATTGCATATTTTACTAGAAAAATTACATTAATGGTAACCTTACAAGAAAACTTAAAGATAAACCGATGACCGTCAACTTTCCTAATTTATGTAACAAAATACCCCCATCACGTGCATGTGGGGTTTATGTCTCAGTTGATATGGTACGCAAGAACATGTTCTACGCACGAACAATATCTAAAAAAAAATCTAATGACAAATAAGTTGATGAAACAAAAACGCCAACAATCTCTTTTAACTATATAACTATTTAATTTTTTTCGGTCATCACACGTATTAAAACATATACTGAATTGCCTACGGATTTTTTCGATTTCTCCGATCACGAATAGGAGCACATGGCGGGTGTGACTGATCGACGCTGCTTTCATCTTCATGTCACTTGATCCTAGCTCTGGTGTTTTTAGAGGTCCATGTTTGCTCTGCTATCGATTGCTTTCAGTGGACTTTTGAACTTGATTACGTTTCGTTATCTCCATATTTTATTTTTAAAAATATGACCTTTCGATAGATATTGGCTTTTGAAAAACTTTTTTTTAAATTAACTTTTAAATGATTGGCACTGAGACATTTTCACAGTTGTTTTCCATGTAACAATATTTAGGATGCTAAAAATCTTGATTTTATACTTTTGAAATCATTAACCTTTGACATAACTTCTGAATATTTGGATCTAGGGCTTTTTTTATTGCACAGGTGTATTCCTTGTAGCAGGATCTTTTCCATAAGTCTCGATATTTTTGAGCTCATGACCTCGGAGTCTTCCTTCTTTTGAATTTTCAACTCCGAGTTCATGAGCTCGAATTGCACCTTCTTTAAAATATTCGAATCCCACTGCGGTCCTTCAGATGAGGCAGTATATACCGGCAAGTCATATCGTCTCCGTATGAGTGAAAAATTCTAAAGAGGGACATTAAACAATATACAATCAATCAATCAATCTTTTGAATATTTTAAACAATGAACATTCTTACTGAATAATAGTTATAAGGACTTTCATATATTACAAGTATATTACTCGTGGAAAACATTTTTCGGGTAACAAAGTTTTGATCCATTGACCCCGGAGTGTGACCTGCATAAGAGAAAGTTTAACCTTTACCATAAACTACCAGATGCAAGCATCACTATTTCACAAATACATCTTGTTTGTGATACAATGCCTTAAATTTTATTTTGACCCGAAATCGAAAAATCGAGGGCATAAATTATAAATGTAATGTCTGGTCTATTCTTGCCAATCTGTTTGCCTGTCCGCAAAACTATATTTGCCCATAACTTTTGAGTTGCTGTTGCTAAAACTTTAATCTTTCTTATAACACTTGAGCTTTTCCTGCCAGGGGTTCTTTTTTTTTAATCTACCACGCAGTTTGACGTGATAAGACTCTTCCTTTGATACCATTGTTTTTTCGTGCCATTTCCATGTGTATCTTAGAGTAAGATCTACTTTTTGAAATACTTTAACTCGAACATATTTTCTTTGATACCAAAGATAGTAAATATTACTATTGTATGATGTTTTAATTGTTGACCTTGACCTCTGACTTTGACCCGTACACATTTAAGAAATTTAAACCATGGCCAGTTGTGTTTCTCAAAACTCTTCTCGTTTTCCATATTTCCCATAATTTAATCATTTATTAATGTAGAGAGAATATTGCAAAATAGATCTGTAAAATGTTATGGTCAAAGAGCGAGATGATTAAATTTTTGCTTTAAATGCCAAATCTTTTCAGACATTTTGTAACGAATAGACTCTTTACTCATTAGATATTGATTTAGGAAGGGCACCTACATGATTGATTGGCAAGATCAAAGGTCATATAATAATTTCTTGGAGAAATAATATATGAAAACTTCAAATTAATCAATTTTCTAAATAAATTAATTGTGTTATTAATTACAAATTGGTGAAAAATTTCATGTGACTATGTTATTTTTGAAATACATAAAACATATCATTATATGTGTTTCATTAAAAACTCAAACGCCTCCACGGAGTTAACAATAGATAGAGCAGAATAGAGGAAACACAAATTTTTATCACTTTATTTTACATCATTAAATAAAAATCAACTTTAAAATTATTCCTTCCCCATTAACACGCGTGCATGTGTAGCAATGAAAAGCTTCAACATTTACTAGCAGCTGATTTTGTATCCACCTTATAATTATGAGAAAGTCTGTGAGACATACAGCAAAAAAGCCGTTCCTGCAAAAATTTAATTCAGACCGCCGAAATATGGCTGAAATATTGCGGACTCGGTGTAAAACAATAATCAATTAAACAATAAATCAAAGATACAGATCAGGCACATTTTATATGGCTTTTATGATTGTCAATTTTGCAGTCTTTAACGTTTGAATCACCCATTGGACAGCGTTCTTTATCATGAATTCTACATTTAAATACATGTCTATTCTTATTCTGTATTATATACATGTAAATGTTATAGGTGACATTTCCTTAATACATCGATAGAAGTTATATTATGTATATCACAATTTAATGGCTAGCTTCATTGCATTTCATTATTTACATAATTAACCAAGTTTACAGTCATGTATACATGTATATATAAAAAGTCCCGGATTTTGTGCAATACAACTACTGTACCAATTAATGTGATTTTAAGCATTTATACATGTAGCAAAGAAAAAATATAATCTGTATTCTCTGGAGAACAAAAAAAATGTTACTGTCCGTCATCTTGAACGGAATCATCGTCACTGCACGAGTAGGACGAAATCTTTTCGGAATGCACTTCGACGTGTTGGTTTTTCCATGAAATACTCTTGCACGTGCCGCGCGTGTACATTATCACATTGTGGCGTTTTCGGGGAGTTTTCCTCGAATTGTCGATATACTCGGATGTTTCAACGTTGGGATTGGTTTCTTCCAGTTCATAAAACACATCCTGCAAATCTGGGACGCCCACAACATGAACGATTTTATCGTCTGACACCCTTCGAATCGCTATCGGTAGTTCCTTCCCGTCTACTATTTTCATCGTGGTTTTAACCTCAAAATCAGCCACCGAGTTTCTCTCTGAAACATGGACCTGGGCTTCGGCCTTGTGCCCCTTTTTGACATTGATTTTTGTGTCAACTGTCCAAGATGTAGTCGTCTCGAAAGTCTCGCTTTCGGTTTCGGTGACGGATAACTCACCACTTAGACCAGCACCCACCGTAACTAGATCCCCGGGAACACTTATTTCGATGTTACATTCCCCTCCCTTTGTATAGCACTCTTGAAACTCGACAGTCGTGGAATTTGTAGTTTCCCTCGTCGAGCTAAAATTGTACTCTTGGTCCAATGGTGTCTTGTTTTCGTAGTCGGACTTGTATAAAATTACATCTTTTGAAATTTTCGGACTTCCTTTGGAACCATCTTCCCCGGAAACGGAAATTTCGGCCGGAGTTCCATCTACTGCATCCGGTCTCTCTTCAAATCTTGTCGTCTCGTGTTTGAACTCGATATATCCCCAACGCACGTCAATGTAATATTTTGAACGCCTGCTGAAGATTCGACTCAAAATGCTTCTTCTTGCTGTGAATCTTTTCCATGCATATTCCTCGAACAGATCTTGTAAGTTAACCCTAAAATCATGTCCAGAAGGCATTGTGGAACTGTTAAAAACAGAAAATAGTATAACTGTATTAATTATGTTGATATGAAATAATAATTGTTAATAAAAGAATTACATGTAAGTACATGATGTACATTTTCATTCGTTAAAATATAATTAATTCATCATAGGAATATACGGGTATAAATGGTGTAAATTTCAAAATCAAACTGTGATTAACAATTTTTATTGTAGACTTTACTTTTTGAAGTCTAACTAATACCATTTTTAAAATAACTTATTTCATATTTAACTTTGAAAGCTTATTTTGAATTCGATGGGAAAAATCGTCATATGCATCTAAATTCCTTTCAAATTCCATCATCTGTGTTCTGAATACAAAACGAGTGGGTCAGACGGATGCATAAAGTCTGTTCAATAGTTTACACTGTCTAAATAAACATTTTCATTTGGTTTAGATCCCCCTAATTCTTCGCAGAATCCTTGATGCTAATGCTCGGTGATCGATATAGCAGTCATCAGTGGAAAGTGTCAGTAAAAACAAAAACTCATTAACTAAATTGATGAAAGGGGGAGAAAGTTTGTATCCTCGATGATAAGAAATATCTCTATTCCGTCTGCATATAAATCAACGGATAAAACTCATTTTTACTGGATTTGACTGGAGGGGGTATAGCAAACACACGGTGCACGTGACATAAAAGACATGAAAAAACTTGCATTACTCAGAAAAAAAATTGAGCTGGTCATGCAAAAGAAATTTAACACTTTACGTAGTATAGATATTTATACTGCATTCGTTATTTTTTAAAAGTAAAGTAAGACTTTTAAATTTCTTGAACATGTTGAATGCGAGTTCTAGTGAAAAGCATTCTAGCGAGTAGTGGCTCTTTAATTTGCGTTAAATAAAGTCTGCTCTTTCTAAGATGTTTACGTAGATAGGTAAATGTAGGTATTTATTGTAGGTATTCGAGGGTTATTCGTTATCTAGATCATCTAATTTTCCCGGGGGAGTCATTCTTGGCGAAAAGAATGTTAATATACCTGAGTCTTAATCGTTTACACGCAAGCAATAGCACCTGGACGCTGAAATAACATACAGTCATTGAGTTAATAAACGGCCCCCTCTGGATCTCTAAATCGAATAGACAATCTCTTGTTTAAGTCGTGTAATCTTCTCTGTAAACGTCTTGTCTTACTTTAAATCTTATCAAATTTAAAAAACATTTTTGTATTTTTTAAACGTCTGTTTAAATATTTTTGCAAACAGCGATAATTCTAAAGCTTATAAATCAAGTTGAATGGGATTTGCAGCATTAAACAAACAAAACTTTTAAAGAAATTTTGTAACAAGTTAAAATATCTAACACCAGTGAGTTAAATATAAATTGCCTTGCGAGATCGTGTGGAAAACAGAATCCCCCGCACGCGCCAATACTAATTTTGGTTAGTTGAAAGAACACGGCTGTTTCCGCTTTAAACATTTTGAATAATTAATGGTTCGATTTTTTATATCAGCAGATATAAAAAACATGAACGTTATTAATTCTGGATCTACATCGCGTACAGTTGCCATGCTACCTTTCTTTTGATAATCGACATCGAGATTTTTATTTTATCCGGTTAAACTCCATCATGTAAACTGGTTTTGTTTGATCATCTGAAGAAAATTTTATATAAGTTGTAGATCTGCATTTTATTATGAAAGAGCGTTTAAGTGTCTTTTATTAAAATTCCCGATATCCTAACAATAGATCAACAACAGATCTTTGTCACAATGTCGGGAGATAAGCAGATCGATGTTTATATGATTATTCCAAGGCGACCTTTGTCGGGTCCTACTTTTAAAGATAGGCATTTCTATCATCGAATTTGAAATGTTAATAGCAGAACTGTGTAAAAATATTTTTATAAACTGTGAAATAATGGCCTGAGCTTATCATAGGGATGACATTGAGTGCGGATGAAATTCGATATGGATATTTGAAGTCGCAAAGTCCGTGCGGTATTTATATATCATTCGCTTCCTTCCTAAATATGAACTTATTTCAGTAAAAGGTTGAAAATTTGCATTATATTTCCTGGATTTTCTTCTACAATAATTTGGAAATAGATAGTTATTTTTTTCAAAAATATATTTAGTAAAAGGATCTGCGAATTGTTATTACTGACAGAATGATCTACTTTCTCAAAATGGCGGAATCTGTCAAATCCATGTAGGGTAATAATTCTTCCCAGTTCTTTCACTTATATTTGAAAAAATTCTATTCTTTATTCCAAGTTTTAAAAATAAAAGTTTTCCTTCAGAGAAAAAATATTATTTTATAAATTTTCATATTTTTTTGCATCCTTTACCAAATTATTCTTTTTAATCAGTTCAGTATTTTAGTTATCGTAACTTTACAAAAACAGAAAAAAACATTGACTAAAATATTATTACTTACACTTTGTTCATAAAATCCAACGAGCAAAAAAATATATAATCTTGATCACTCAGAAATTTTCATTACGCCATTACGGGCGTTGGCGATGAAGTGAAGCCTGCATTCATTGGACGAAAAATCACGTGACGTCTAGTAAGTAATAAAACTTGTATATGTGCATACATGTTTTACCTTTGTTGCAAATATTAAATGTTTCTTTCTATTAAATGGAATTTTTCTAAGTTCATTTAAATCCAATTTTTCTGGATTGATCATATTTGCTAAATCCAAAGATCCCTGCGTATCGTGGAGTTCGAGATCCGAAGCTTTCAGTCAGTTTCGAGTTTAGAGAATTAGATTAGTATTGAACAGTGCCTGGAACATGGGTGATGATGCTGATATCACGCGCTGTCCTGGGGAAAATTACATTGATCACTATCATATTGCATTTTGTAGCTGATATGAAACCTTTCCATGCAGATATCTCTTACAGAAGTGTGAATGCATGTTCTTGTCTGCAATTAAAATCTACAGGATGTTAATAAAATAGTAGTAAATATGAGTTAAGATGCTGCACATGCGGAGTCGAAACCGGGTAGGAGAGGGGTATAAAAGTTTTATAATAAAACCGTCAAAATTAGAGCTTTTTCAAAAAATCCTCTTAACCCTGGACATTAAGCATTGAGCCCCGCCCTCAACAAAATTGTGAATTCCATGGTCCCATGGTCATGGGTTCTAAAGTATGAGCGGAACTTTAATGATCATAATTTATTTATAGTGAAAAAGTCCTCTCTTCCATGTATATTTAGCAGATAAACTACATATGCGACCGGTAATGATTAGCAAAAGTGCCTTTTCCTTATTTGTGAAAATTTTGATCCGAGATCAGATGTTCTGAAGTGGAAGCGAATCTGTAACAGCTGTCAAATGACTATATAGTATTGGATATGTTCTCTCTTTCCTGTATATTTAGGAGATAAACTAGGTAAGAGGTATAATGATAAATAATTGAAGACGACTCTTCCACAATTTATTGTGTTTGCGGTCCCAGCCAGGGGTACCGGTTTGGAGAGGCAGAGACTCTTATAATAAATTGATATCTAATATTAATGAAATTATTTCTCTACTGTATGCGGTTGAGGAAGTGGCATTTTTTCCCCAGTTAAATTATTAATTAATAAATTTTATTTCCGTCTTTCTTAGGATAGACTAATATTTCCAATGTGGCCAAGGACATATTAATAATTATTAGTTTCTTTGCTGAAAAAAACAGCCATAAACACATAAAATAAAGCCAAAAAAAAACTTCTGAGGTTCTATAAAGCTGATTATCTTTATATATACATAAACTGAAGAAAACAAAAACTAAGAAGGGGTCCACCTCACTGGGGGGAGGGGGTATAATTCATTTCGTAAAGTTCCTCCTACCACGCTTGATCTTCTTCTTAACAAAAGATCTTATTAGGTAAATGACAGGCGTCACGAGAAAAGGACGCCAAAGTATTCAAGGTAATCGTAAATAATCAAATAGTTTGTAAATCCCAACTTGCAATTCAGTTTCAGATATGGTATTCAGGTATGTAGGTACATGAAGGTAATTCCGACCACATACATGTAGCATATGTAACTCCGAACATTAGCTGTGTTAACTTTGAATTATACAGTCATATATATTTCTCAAGAAAGGCCTTGGTATCCTCTCACACCCTCTAATCTTTATTCCAATCATTTTCAAAAGTAATTTTCGTCTTTCCATGCATGTGATGTTCCGATTTCAGTAGCAATGTCAAGCACATTACGTTGGCAGTCCTCGTTCATTAACGTTAAACATGCTTAATTTGTCAACGAGGAAAAAAATGGACATTCCTTAAGCCGGTCACACCTTTATTCAGCCCCATTGGAAGTTCTGTTTTCCTTACATTTCTCACGCCGATGAAAAACCAGTTGCTTACTGCATTTTTGTCCATCCTGTATCAGTAGAACATGTAGTATATCCTTTTAAATCAAGAGTGTTCCCGAGATTTTCACAAAACATAACCTGACCTCATTTTCGACATTGTCGAACAATATGTCACGATGAACAACTAATCATCAACTGATAAATATCCAGTAAAATCTGTAAAGCGTTCACACAGAGGCTTAAGAAAACGGAAGCAATTGTCATCATGACATAATGGTTTTAATTGCCACTTACTGCGTTTTTTCCTCACTTGTAGCATTATCAAAAATTGAAATGACAATAGACGAGTAAATCTCTCCCCCTGCATTTTCAAACATCCCTTTCTATGGTAAATGCCAAAGTGTTTCATTCATTAATATTTAAAATATTTTTGATTTCAAAACAATTCAAAAAGTGTATATACTTATATCATTTGTAATTTTCACTCACTTTCACTTATAAATAAATAAAATATGAAGAAATTTTACTAACTCTTGGACCAGCACTCGAATATTGTATACTATAAATAATGTGAGTAATTCTGATATTGTAAACTTCGTATTTCCGAGCATTGATTCTTCAGAATTTACTCCAATGTCCACTTGTACTACACAAGATACATGTATTAAACTTGCAAGCCTATCATCTTTCTGTTTTCTGCTATATCTATATAATTATATTGCCGTGCTCTTAAAAAGATGCACAAGAAATGTAAAGTCTAGACCTTAATTCGGAAGTATGGAGGAGTATCGGTTTTTTTCACAATGCTGTTAATAATTTTATTTTCATTTCTTTTTTGAATTCTTGATTCTTTATATTTTTGATTTTTTCATTTTCAATATATCTTTTTTTTATATTAATTTTTTTTATTTGTGTGTCATTTTGCCAAACTTCATACCATATTTTTTGGTACAATTATAAATGGAAATGAAAGATGGAATTCGGAAACAGAATTAAAACAGTCAAGATGAGTAACCCGATTAACCTTAGCTATTTATGAATTTTAAACGAAAGGGATGCCACGCGACCTTTTATTTGCATTACGTGCATATACTAACCTTTTATTAACGTGCATTACTAACGTAAAAAGCCTGCGCAAACTATCGACGAAAAATTAAAATATTTTCTGCGAACATGAAGAAAAATTTATAGATGTAATTTTAGAAAATAATATTAAATCAGTTTGTGTCTTCTTTTTTTTTTTTACATTTTCAGGCACTAATGCAACTATTTCATTTATTTCATTTGTGTTGGGGGGGGGTAAAAATTTTCGTGACAAGCCCCCTCTCCCGACAACGAAAAATTCAGACGTTGCTTTTGCGCGGGTTGCACACCGAGAAATTAAATTTGATTTCAACTTACTGGTATAACTGGCACAATTATAGGGAATAACAAACGGAAATCACAAAGTTTAATTTATGCATTTTGTAAAAACTGCTCCCCCTCCGCATGCGGTTCCTATATTTTTAAAGATATGATTTAATTCCCTGCATCTTTTTATAACCCGTTTATGGTTAAGAATCTTCTATGAATTTTAATATCGTCCTCAGAATCTTCAAGATACCCATTCTTTGTTTCAAATATTCTGCGAACAACTACGTTAAAATACATTGCAGGAACAATAATTGTTGTCCCCCTCCACTCTTCCCTCTCCCTCCGTTCCTCCTCTCTCCCCATTCTCTCCTTAAACTTTCTCCCTAGCTGTTCCTCACTTCCTCCCTCCCTCTCCCCTCTGTCTGTCCTCCCTCTCTCTTTCCATACACACACTCTCCTCCTACTCTCTCTTACCCCAATCTCCCTCCCTCTCCACCTCCTCACTCCCTCTCTCCTCACCCAGTGTCTCTCCTCTCTCCTCACCCTGTGTTTCTCCTCTCACTCTCTCTACTCTCTCCGTCTCTCCCCAATCCCACCTCTCCTCACTCTCTTTCTCTTCACCTCACTCTCTCTTCTATCCCCCTCCTCTTTCCCTCTCGATCCTCAATCCCTCCCTCCTCTCTCTCTCTCTCTCTCTCTGAGGAGAGTAGAATGATGGATTAGGAAAATCTTGAGGAGAGAATAGCTCTATCCCCTTTCGACCATTTCGGGAGAAAGCTAATCTCATCCACTTTATCTCCCCACTTCTCACTTTCTATCTCTTTCCCCACGTTCTCATTCTCTCTTTAATTTTTGATTGCTGTCTGATTTAGCCATTCCGTATTGTTGTGAAATAAACTATACATATGCGTGATACATGGATGTTCATTTTCTTTTTACAATTAAAAATAATTGAAAAGAACTCATTGTACAATAAAGAGAAAAAATCTATTTGTTATTTTAAAAGAAAATATTTAATTTTTATTCTTGATCGTTTTAATTTTAAATTGATTTAATGAGATTGTTTATTTATGCAAAAAATGGAAGTAATTTAAGATTATAAGGGCGATAACTTCACACAACAGAAAATACTCCTTCGCAGATCATACAATGTAGTCAGATCATTGCGTTGTTTGTTTGAAATGAAGAAAAAATGTTTTACACTTGAAGAACAAAATGAAATGTGTATGCTTTCTAACATGCAAGGAACATTATATACATGTATATGTCAGCTTGAATACCAATTGAATATTATTTTGTTGTATACAGTTATAAAAAGTACATGTACAGCTGATGTCCTAAATTATCCACGAGAGAGAGTCTATAAAAGGTCTATAAATATATTCATTTTTTGACCAAGTATGCAATTGGGGTTTCTACCCCTTTTCCACTGTATGCATCCAGCGTACTTTTAATTCTGTATCTTTATCTTTGCCCCGTTCTTATGTATCATGACTTTCTCGTTGTTCCTTGGTATGTAATAACATTTTCATCACATGTAAATGTTCATTGGGCACTTTATTAAAGCGCATACTACAGGTATTAATAAACCTAAGTATAACCTTTATTTAAACATAGATTTGAATGCATGGATAGTGTTAAATGATTAACTGTTTGGTCATCGGTGTAATTTGAGTAAATGTTCACCGTAGTACAGGCGCAGTCATGCCTCTAGGAGAATACAATCACTCGGCTAAGCAATACAACTATTCAATAAAAAAATGCCAAGTATAAAACATGCAAAACGTGCGGTATGAAATTGTTATATAATTGCTTCTGTCGCCCATATCACCTTCCTTGATCTTATAAAGTTTGTACATGTAAATAGTAAACACTTGAAACAAACATTTAGTTCAAATTCTGAAGGAAGAATTCGAGTTATGTAAAGGACCGGTAGTAAAAGGGAAGGGGGATGTTAGAAATTCCTTAAGAAGCTAATTTAAAAGACAATTTTAGTGTTTTTTGTCATACATGTATAATATAATAATACAACTCCTCTTAATCTTATACATGTGCCACTGAATGAAATTAATTGAGACTTTTACAGAATCTTTGATACATAGTGCCATTAATTGTGACCCCCTATTTTATATTTTGATATGACGCATATTTTGGGTTTCCCATAGCAAAACATGGACACTGCCGTTCTTTCTATAATACTGAAAAAGTATCCATCTCTTATCCGCAACTCCTCCTTTACCACTAAATAAAATTTAATACTTTCACAGATTATATATTACATAATGCTGTTCTGCACTTCCCATTTTACTTTTTGATCTGACGCTTATTTCGGGTCTCCCAGAGCAGAAATATAGACTTTATTGCCATTATAATCATATGGGAGGCGGGGTCTCATTTAGTGAGCCCAGTGCTCACAGTATACATATACCTCTTGTTCAAATGCAGAGTCGGTACTAAATAAATTGGTTATTTTCCCCTAGCAAAAGAATTGTAGGGGATAATAGTAACAAAACTGTGTGTGTTAGTTTGTGGGTGAGTTAATTCTGTGCATAATAGAAGTGATGTAAATTGCACAGAATCGATGTTAAATGCTGCCTTGAATTATAGATACATGTATTTCAATTTTTGATGTCTGAAACGCGATTGAATCAAATTGACGTGTGTATTTTACTGCACAGAAAAGTCCAAAACTTTTATATGATAAAGTAATATAATAACAAATAGAAATATCTTTTTAAATTAGGTTTTCTGAACTGTATTTTAAAAAGACATGTGATATTGCAAACCACAAACATTATTAGAAGAAAAACAATACTTGTTTTTGCCTTCAATTCGACATTCACATATATCGACGACGTTTAATAAATAACAATAGTCCAGTGAACTTGAAATAAAAGACACCAAAAAGTCTGCCACATTTGTTTCACATTGATGTTCTACTGACAATGGACAGTAAGGACCAACTAATATTTACTGCAGGACAAAGGAGACGACTTCAGATCTCCAAACTTATCTTTCTATTCCCGTGAGCTATATAATACGATCAACTTTTAAAATTAAACCGAGGTAGGCTATTGGCAGGAAAGTTTATGTCACAGGGATTTACCTCGCGTAAAAGAAACAGTTCATTTCTCTGCCGTTTTCATATCAATTGTAAGGCATTTGTTTTATGCTTAATATAACTGCAAAATATTCTGTTTTTCTGATCAATAAATATGCTCACGCCAGGTGTGACTGGTTAACAGGGGATGTTAACTCCTCCTCGGCACTTGATCCCACCTTTGAAAATTCCAGGGTTCTGTGTTCGCATATTTATTAAGATCGTTCACTGTTCTTTATCTTCGTCTTTTTTGTTAGGATGTATTATTATTCTACGGGATATATTATTTTTCTACGGGATATATTATTATTCTGCGGGATATATTATTATCCCGGTTTCATACATTACATATTGTACAATTAAGGTACATTGCTGCTCTGATAAGAGAGATAACTCTTAATGACACAAATGTCTATTACTGTAAACGAGGAAATTTTGACGATGTGCTAATTTTGACTATATTGACGATTTTCCTTTTCTCGTCAAAATTTACACTCGTCAAACTTCAAATCATATATATAGCGTCACAACAGACATTGACCATTGTACAACATGACCGCTTAATTTTCTCGGCTTTCCCCTATATATTTAAACTAGATCAAATTTACTGTTAATTTCTTTTGTAATAAGTTATGAAAACACAGTGATATATAATCACATTTTTTTTAAACCATTGAATCTAAACTAGTGTATCAAATACAGCATGCGTAACTTAACGTAATTATCACGCCGTGTTTGACCTAGTTTGTCACCTCAGGCAACTGACCGCATATAATGAAAACAAATTACAAGAGGGCAATTATTTAATCAAATACACACTTGTACAATTAAACACTGTAGATACAAAAATTAAAATTTTAGATTCTACTCTTTGTTTCCCCTGTGAATTCAAGAGAGATTAAATATTTCGTCAAAATTAACACTAATTTTCTTACAAAAAATCAATTTTTCATGTCCTTTATAAATTTGTCAAGTTTAAGTGCCTTTTTTGTCAAATTTTGCCCCGCAAGCCATGCTATAATTATTTGTATTTTATTCAGCATATACATTTCCTTTGGAAAATCATAAAAGTTAAAAAAAAATTTCATATGAATGAGCAGAGGGTTTATGAACCTTAAATCTCACAGCATTGAACAACAAACAATTTTAAACCACTCATTCCCAGGCAATTTATTTACATTTTTTGAAATAATGTAACAATAGAAAAATATAAATTGTTTGTATCAATGGACACATTTTGTAAGTTGTGACCGACACAAACATATATTAAGTATATACAGAGTGTGAAGTCTACGAAAGAGGCAAATACACCGGTATGTCAATTCATTATCACACTGTGGTACACCCTTTGGATATCCGACTTTTATTTAAAAGTTTTTAAGCACGTCGCATTGATTTTGCTGAAAAAGAAATTAGAATTTTTAGAAATAAAGTGATACTAAAATGTATCGGCCTAATCTTAGTACAATGTAACAAAGTTAATAAATCAAGATCCTTAATTCTGAACAAGTCTTCAGTTTGTTAAGTTTTTTTTTACTGAATTTAGGAGACGGGAATTAAAAATGTGTATGTCACAATGCCTATAAAGAATCCTTTAATTTTTCATATTTTCTGCAGTGTTTCCATTATTGTTTTATCAGCTTTTTTTCCAAATATGTCCAAGTCTTATAAACGGATTGGCTTTCTACAACAATATTTTTCAGCTACATGTATCAAGTAGTGTAATTATGCCACTCGTCATTAAAAGTTTACCTGTAAAGGCCTTCGAACTCCAAGAATTCGAAGAGGTTTGAAGTGGGAGTCCTCAACCTCTTGTAATGCTTTGAATGCCTGAAAATAATGCATATTTTTTTTAAATTAAATCTTTACGTTGGGTAGCTCCAATAATCTATCATAATTGATTGACTACATATAAAAATGATTATTTGAAATTTTCCTTTTTCGTATTGCATTATAAAGCTAAAAATATATAAATTTTTTAGTCACACTTCTTCATATAAAATGATTTTATTCAAAGAAATTGCATGAGTCGATACATTAGTTGGAAGTCTAAAATTTACTCACTTTACGAGTAACCCTGACTGGGCATTTAAATACTATCCACTGCACAGTTTCGTAACAGGGAGGTGTGGTCAAGGACCCCTTATACGTGTAGAATCTATGGTCATACGGTAGAACATCTATGGGTGATATTCCACATTCTACGTGAACTTCGTGGGGTATTTTCCCATTTTTCGAAATACACTTATCTCGAATGGTTTCCTCAGATGGTCGTTGTCCACACTGTAGGTCTAAAAAACAAGTCTAAGTATGCATTGCATTCTATGTACATGCTATTCATCCACGTAGCATCGTTTTTGAAAGTGGGGGGCCAGCCAGAGAAATTTTTTTTCTTACTTACTTGAAAAAGTTGACAAGCGAAAAAAAGGAAAATTGCCCAAACTTTAGTACAACGCATCAGTATATTACACGAATTGCAAATGCACGTTACAATTTAGACCTTTTTGTTAAAAGAACTGAAGAGGTAGATTTCAAAACAAGAGGCCCATGGGTAACATCACTCACCTGAGCATATTGGCTAGAAAGAGGCACAAATCGGTTAAGTATTGAAAAGTAGGGCTTGAATTTTAAACTATTTGAGAATACTTCCATATCAATAACTGTTACAATGGCTTTACGTTCTTGAACAGTTTTTTACCAATATATTCCTAGTAAAAATTTCATTCCCATTGTGGCCCTTCCCTAACCCTGGAATCATGATTTGAACAAATGTGAATCTACATAACCTAATGATGCTTCCATATCAGTATAACTAAACTATGGCCTTTCCATTCGAAGAGGATTGTTCCTATAGATTATCATAAAAAACTTTGATCGTTTATTGTTGTCCAACCCTAACCCCACTCCAAGCATGATTTGAACAAGCTTAATTCTAAACTACCTGAGGAAAATTCCATTCTAATATGACCAACAATGGCTTTGCTGTACTCCAAAGGAAGACTTTTTAAAGATTTTTCCTATTATATATTCCTATGTAATACTTTGTTTTTACATTGTGGCCCCGCCCTTCTCGGGAGGTCATGATTTGAACAAAAATGATTCTAAACTACCCGAGGATGCTTCCACATAAATTTTATTTTTCTTGGCCCAGAGGTTCTTGAGAAGATTTTAAAAGTTTGATTTTTGTTGTGGCTCTACCCTATCCCGGGGGTCCTGATTTGAACAAACTTGATTCTACACTACCTGAGGATGCTTCCACATAAGTTTTATCTTTCCTGGACCAGAGGTTGTTGAGAAGATTTTTAGAAAATTTCCTATAAATTCCTATGTATATTTTGATTTTCCATTGCAGTTCCGCCCTACCCCTGGGGAAAATTGAATAAATCTGATTCCACACTGCCTGAGGATGCTACCACATAAGTTTTCTCTTTTCTAGCCCAGTGGTTCTTCAGAAGATGATTTTTAAAAGCCTTTTCCTATGTATTTCTATGTTAAACCTTGATCCCCCATAGGGGATCCACTCTACCTCCGGGGGGGGGGGGGGTCATGATTTGAACAAACTTGAATCTACACTACCTGAGGATGCTTCCACATGAGTTTCATCTTTCCTGGCCCAGTGGTTCTTGAGAAGAAGATTTTTGAAAGATGTTATTAATTGTTCACTAATTCATACCGGAACTTATCTCCCCTTGGAAGAGAGCGTGACCTTCATTTGAACAAACTTAAATCCCATTCACCTAAGGATACTTTGCGGCAAGTTTGGTTGAAATTGGCCTAGTGGTTCTTAAGAAGAAGATAAAAATGTGAAAAGTTTACAACAACGGCGACGACAACAACAACGACGACAGACAACGGACAAATTTTGATCAGAAAAGCTCACTTAAGCCTTCGGCTCAGGCGAGCTTAAAAACCAGTTCGTTACTGTGCTATATTGAAACATATTTACATGTATTGTGACAATTGTACATATATTAAAAGACACCATTCTGCTATATTACAAGATGCCATAAGGCTAAAAGGACTTACAATAATATATTGTAAGTCACTGGTACGTATGACTTACATTTCCATGTAAATTTAGGTTCTGGTTCATGTGAAGGTTTATGCTCCTGTAGGACTTACAATAATACATTACAAGACACCGCGGTACCTTACAAAACTTACACTTGTAGGTAGGTTTGGGTTCCGCTTCATGTGATGGGTTATGCTCCTGCAACTTTTTGTAGTATTTCTCCATTATGTCACTCAATGTTTGAGCAAACCGTACTTTGCAATGCCCACGCTGTTCACAAAAAAAGGTACCATTGTAGATAAACTTAATAGTATTCAATATTTAAATGTATTCTAAGAAATTTTGTACTATAAAACTTAAAAAATAATTGAAAACAACTACATTACTGTTAATTACAGTGATTAATACAAGAAATACATAAAGATGTCTATTTTACCCCTTTATAACACTTTTCAGTGTACTGTTGAACGTAATCTCTATAATGTCTTCGTGAGCAATTTCTTCTGTATGAATATTTATGAGCCTAAACAAAACATGCATGTATGAAAAAAGTATAAAGTTTTTGTTTACATGTATTTCATTGCAAAGTAATTAACACAGTTCATAATTATCTTCAAAATTATATGTATATTAAATCGATAGAAATAATTTACATTTTAATTATTTGCTCCAATAATATCTGTTGTAATATTTACATACATCCCGTCTCTTTCTTCTATCCTCTTCCAAAAAATCCTGTTTAACCTCGTCACTATACATGTAGTCCTGTCCACTCTGCCCATGATATTCATTTCCATATTCATTTCCATATTCCTTAAAAAAGTACATTTTTTCATATCATCCCTACAATTCTATTAAATACATGTGTATAATTTAGGAACGTTGGTAGACGTGTTGAACCTCCAATTAAGACTAACTGTAAATAAAAAGTAACACGTATTTAAAGATATAATTTAAAAACATATGATCTAATTCATTCCACACATTTCAATTAATCATAACTGTTCAAGAAGCCTTAATTTTATTATAACTGTATGTACAGTTCGATTTCTTGAAGGTCCCAGTAGTCAAAGTAAGGAATTTACATTTCTAATATACACGTACAATGTCATCCAAACGGACATGATAGTTTTCATAGTCTGAACTAAAATCATCGTCAGTGTCCACGTCACTTTCATCTTCTCCCTCACTATCATCTTCATTGTCATCACCATTTGCTTTTTTCACCTAGTTAATTAGATTTACATGTATAAACATTAACAACTTTTCGTTTGTTCAGTGAAGCATTTCATCATCTTTGCAGTAAATTATCATTTAAAGGCATGTAAAGTGTGATTTTTATAACAAATTTGGTTTCAAAATATAAATCGCATTTATTTCTTTGAGGCAGGCTCCCTCATTACCAAAGCATATATTTATTATGAACTTACATGTACGGGTAATCAAAAAGTTCATATTTGCTTTCAATATTTGGTTACAGTGATGATTATATTTTAAAGTAGTCCTCTCCGATTTTAATGCATATCTGCCACCGTTCTGTTCATGCGCGAATCACGTGATATAGGCTCTCTCATTATCAAAAAGCAAATTTTTCTGAGTTTTACATTTCTTTTCATGCAAGTTAATTTTTATAACAAGTACACATTTAATTTGTCAAAAATGGTCAAATCTCGGCAACAGAATGGGTGCATAAGAATATCCTTTCCAAATATGAGCCTGGTGACCATCAAAACCCAAATCTTCTGTCTCGGGAGAGACGTTTATTCAAGGTGGAGAGAATCATCAATGGGTGCCTCCTTTTTATCAGAATATCTAATATGTTTAAAATCTAAAGTTAAGTAAACGATATGTAAGTATTTAACAATTATATAATTGTTAAGATTTTCAACTATTTTTCAAACTGTAAATTGGAGGTCTTTGATAACAAATTGCTTAATTAAAAACACGTCTCTTTTTTTAACTTGCTTTCACTGGGCAACATAACAAATATCAATTTTAACCATCTGCATGCCTAGCTGCAGATCTGGTCTGCAAAAATATATTATATCTGAAAAAACTGTATATTTATGCTGTTTCTTACCTCAATTGCAAAAAAGGAAAGATTTCAAAAACTTCCTGATCCTCAATCAAGTACTCTCGTTTGACGTAAGGAAAAAAATGGCAGTATAAGTAAGCGAAATGTTCGATGATTACAATATCAGGGTCAGGAGGACTATTAACAACAATTTTGAGGAATGTTTGGTTGTGGAAACATTGGTTCAAAGAATATATTAACTGGAACAAACGGTTATAATATATTAACAGTTTTAAGAACATAGAAATAAATCAAGAAAGCTTATTTTTTTGTGCAAAATACTTAATACAGTTTTTTCTGTAGCTCTCCGGTCTATCAATATATTTTTTCGGACAGCTACAGATCTACAGCTACTGCATGCCTTCCTTCACGAAAACGATCAATCCAATCATTGTGTGACATCATCTGTATTAATTAATAAATTATTACTTGTGTACATTGAATATTAAATTAGCACAATTCTATGTTTATTATGTATAAAATATACCTATTGCTATTTTGTTAGCGTAATACTTATTGTTCTATTGATTGTGCGCAAACGTCATTTTTATGTTAATAAGCCTTTTGAGTGACAATTTTGAGGAGTGCTGATTTTCATACAGAAGACAGTGAACGTGTTTAGATGAGAGAGCGGTCTATATTTGACCTGTAAGCATTGTTATCATTGTCATGGATGTTTTATTGTTGTAATTAATAAACTGTTAAAACTGAAATCGATTCCTGTTAATTGATTCTGGGACTATTGGGCAACCGCCCGTTACAATTGATTGAATTTATAGGAAGTCTTTCGTCTTAATAAACTGTGAACAAATTATTATACGCTACTGCAAAGGAATTTCCAAGATATACCACACATTTTAACAGTCGGTCGTTGAACCAGTACGACTGAAACAACCATTTTTTGTGATCTACATAGTGACGCCATTTTCACATTGTGACGTCACAAACAAGGAGCACAAACTTGACTCAACATACGCTGTTTATAGAACTTTTGTATGGCTATGTGTGTACCAATTTTTTTTGCAATCTAAAATGTGGTTTTGTAGATATATCGAGATAGTTCGTGAACTTTTTGTTTAACCCTCGCATAAGTTCATTGAAGTCATTAAGTGTACACGAGTACGTACTTGTAACATAACCCCGATGACCACCAATCCATCCTTTGCGGGTTTTGCAAATTTTATATCTGGAAATATGCTGTCATAAAATACCATGTGGGCCTGAAAGTAACAGGCAGTTCGTAAAGAAAAACATTCTGGGAAAACGTAATACTAAATAGCAACATAAGTTCAAGAATATATCAACTGAGGAAGTACCGGTAATATAATATATTTGACATATGAAAGGCAATCTAATGCTTGTTTGTTTTTGATCAGATTTCTTCGTCTTTCATAAAATTACAAATTTAACATTTTTCTTGTCTCACATGTCTCAAACCAAGTATACATACAAACAAAGAAAGAAAAAGAAAATGATTGTAGCAAGTGAAACGAGGGGTCAACAGCTTCCTTTCTGTTGCCAAATTTTATGTGTTGGCAGATTAAGATGCTCAATGGCCCTAAGTGCCATTTTTGTGCAAAATGAGTGAAAAATTCTCGAGCGGGACGTTAAACAATATAATCAATCAATCAGAAGGTGCTGGCACAAAAAGACCCCTCAATGTCCAAAGGCCGTAAATGCTGAGTATAGTTTCCAACGGCAAGTGGTACGATTGAAAAAATTTTAAGCGACTTTTAACAAATATACAAAGAAAGAAAAATAAAAAAAATATGATTGTAGCAAGTGAGAGTATTTTTTTGCAAATTCTGTTTTGTGCTTTATATTGTATGTATATTTATTTATATATGCTAAATCTACGTTCGTGATTTACCTCCATAGGATAAAACGTGTTGTCAATCGAGTGTTCAGAACCTTTGTCCGTCTTCCTGCCAAGATGAACGTGCAGCTGGGCAAAGATGTACTTCTTGTGAGCGGGTCGACCAGGCACATGGGTAAGGATGATATTGTTATCGTTATCAAATTTGTCCACAATGACGTTAAAGTCTGGTGCATGACCTTCGAATGAAAACATGTTTTGTTATGTATGGAATTCTTATTAACATAATTATTTGGAAAATATTGACAAAATAAAGTTCTAAAGAAAGTTGTATTCCTTTAAAAGATGTTTTCAAAACATAAACTTATTATGAGTATTTGATCTTCAAAATGCAACCTAGCAGAATACAAAAAAGAAAGCAATGATTTAGTCCCTAGGACTGTTTATTCGTTTAATGGAAAGTAAAAATAAAGAAATTAATTTAACAAGACTGAATGATTCTGGTTTTGAATTGTGCAACTCATTAAAGCGTTACAAATCAATGTAAGAAAAATGTTTTCTGACTTCGAAAAACGGCATGATTTCCTGCTTTTTATTTGACCTCCGAAATATGGCTGACTGAAATATTGCCACCGACCCGGATTAACAACCACGATCAATCAATCAAACTTAATCTGTTCATTGGGGGAAAATACAAATGTCTGAATCTAACCGTTATTAAAGGTTGTGGCGGGCACTCTTTTACTGATATTCCTAAGAGCAAATCTTATGTTTTTTCGGGACTTGGACTTCCTCGTGTTTAGATTAATGGGAGACTGTCGTCTTGTTGAGCCACATGTTGTCCAACATTCATGTATTCTGCACCAATCTTCTGGCCCTGTAAAACAATTATCAAATATTGGTATAAAATTGTTAATGAAATGTGCCTGCTAAGAATTAACTTTTCCTGTTCTTAGTATTTTTATATTTCAAAATTCTGGTTATAGCAATGGTTATTCTTGGTGAAAACATATGAAGGGAACGGGAAGTATTCAAGCTCAAAAGTCCGTAAAACAATACAAAGTAGGAGCAGTGCAAACACAGACCTCCAAAACATCTGAGGTGGGACCCGGTGCCAAGGAGGAGTGAGCATTACTGCAGACTGTCACATCCGCCGTGTGCTCCTTGTCAAGATCGGGAAATGGAGGAAAATCCGTCGTCTATTCACGGTGTAAATAATGGACTAACAATTAGTATGAAAAACTTCAGTGATCATTTGAATCAATGATAAATTGTACATGTATATGTATTTGCTGACAAGGTCGTTGTATCAACCATAGAACATACGAAATGATGACTTTAAACGAGACTGCTGATATCCTTGTTTCGTCAACTTCTTTGTCAATAATTTACCTCGTTGGATGAAAGATTTTTCTGCTAACTAGTTTACAATTTGGGTATCCTACAAAAAGGAGCACCAGGGTTTCTAGCCAGTTAAAATTTTATCAAGAGTTCATCGACATTTTTTTTTGTTGCTGATAAAATTACAAGAAATTCCACTGCTCTGCCATCACAGAGGAAGGAACCTGGAAGAGCGGTTGTTTCTTATTCCCTTGACTGGGAAGGCAAACTTTAAATTTGCTATTTGTTAAGGAATGTTGGTAAATTAACAGTTACACTTATTTTTCATTACGAATTGTGAATTTGTTGGCTTTATATAAAGTCTTCGAACAAAGTGTGAAATATGCTTACATGTATTATTGGTCTATGACGTTTTCTGAAAGCGTGTTGACATTTTCAAAAGTCTGCATATTGATGAGATATAACAAATTTGCATACAACGTATGCTATTTACATGTAGTTGTCGCAATACACACTATATAATAATTCACTTTTAAATTATGATTTCATCAAAAATATCCAGGAAATCTTTTTAATTGAAATAATACTAGCAGTTTCGCCATTTTTGGCATGGCGCTCGGCTTTTTAAAATATTTTTTCGTAATACACTTTTAAATTAATTTACTGCATATTATGATTTTATTTTTAAATAGCAATTTCAGAATGAAAAACAACCAAGCATGCATTTACCTTACGGCAACTTTAAAACTGGCTAATAAACCCCCCAAATATGCTTGTCAAATGTAGGTGACGACCTATACATGTAGTTTCAAAACCTTGATTTGTTAAAATCTGAGGAAAGATACTCCCATTAATTTATTCCAAAATCTTTAACATTATTACTTTTCTGCCGTTTATAAATCAAACACAAAACTCTAATACTTCATTAAATTAAATCGAGACAAATATTTCTGTATAGATATGGATACATGTACTTGTCTTAAGCTTTTTAATAGAGAACAGACTGAAGGTTCATATCAACAATAACAAGGGGTCCAGGGGCCACATCGCTCACCTGAGCAAATCGTCTAGGACAAAAACGCAAATCAGATCAGAACTGAAAAGTTTACTGAAAGGGGGGGGGGGGGGGGGGCTTGAATTTAATACTACTTTAGAATGTCTTCATATTAACACAGCATATGACTTTGCTGTTCTTGATAAAAAGATTTTTTAAAAACATTTTCTTCTAATCATTGCTTTGAAGTACTTGAGAAGACGATTTTTAAACTTTGATCAGCCATTGTGGCCCCACCCTACTCCGGGGGTCATGATTTGAAAAAACTTGAATCTACACTACCTGACGATGCTTCCACATGAGTTTCATCTTTTCTGGCCCAGTGGTTCTTGAGCAGATTTTTAAAGATTTTCCCTATATACTCTTATGTAAACTTTTGATCGGCCATTGTGGCCCCACCCTACCCCCAGGGGTCATGTTTTGAATAAACTTAAATCTACACTACCTGACGATGCTTCCACATGAGTTTCATCTTTCCTGGCCCAGTGGTTCTTGAGAAGAAGATTTTTAAAGATTTTCCCTATATACTCCTATGTAAAACGTTGATCGGCCCTTGTGGCCCCACCCTACCCCCGGGGGTTATGATTTGAACAAATTTGAATCTACACTATCTGAGGATGCTTCCACATGAGTTTGATCCTTCCTGGCCCAGTGGTTCTTGAAAAGAAGATTTTTAAAGATTTTTTACCTATACACTCTTATGTAAAACTTTGATCGGCCATTGTGGCCCCACCCTACCCCCGGGGGTCATGATTTGAACAAATTTAAATCTACACTATCTGAGGATGCTTCCACACGAGTTTCATCTTTCCTGGCCCAGTGGTTCTTGAGAAGAAGATTTTTAAAGATTTTCCCTATATACTCCTATGTAAAACGTTGATCGGCCCTTGTGGCCCCACCCTACCCCCGGGGGTTATGATTTGAACAAATTTGAATCTACGCTACCTGAGGATGCTTCCACATGAGTTTCAACTTTCTTGGCCCAGTGGTTCTTGAGAAGAAGATTTTTTAAAAATGCCATTAATTTTTCACTAATTCATAATTATCTCCCCTTGGAAGAGGGCGTGGCCCTTGATTTGAACAAATTTGAATCCCCTTTACCTAAGGATACTTTGTGGCAAGTTTGGTTGAAATTGGCCCAGTGGTTCTTGAGAAGAAAATGAAAATGTGAAAAGTTTACAACGACGACAACAACGACGACAACGACAGACGACGGACAAATTTTGATCAGAAAAGCTCACTTGAGCCTTCGGCTCAGGTGAGCTCAAAAGTCATTAAACATTTTTTTATGCGAAAAATATTTAGCATCTAAATAATTTTGTATTGATTATATCAAATGCATAAAATATTTACATGCTCACAAGAGAATAAAATTAGCCTGCTAAATATTTTTCGCATAAAAAAATGTTTAACGACTAATTATTGTTGATATAAACCTTCAATCTATTACATGTTATTATCTAAAAATGGCATTTCTAGATCTTAATTTACTACTGGAATGTGTGTAACTTTATAGTTCACATTTCCATAAAATATATTTTATGAGCTTGATAGTAAAACAGATTATTTTAATAGTATGTCCGAATTCTAAGAGATAATTTGTAATTAACATCATGCTCGATTTAAGATATTAATCTTTATTTTTTGCACAAATTACAAGTTAATGTATTCTTCAGGAAGTTTTAAAGAGAAAAGTCATGTTTAAAACAAAATATATTATATAAATTAGAACAAGTCATTCATAAGTCTTCTACTTCTAATGAACAAGAGGGAGTAAAGTTAAGAATTCTCTTCATCCCTCCTTCTTCTGTTAGAGTCCATCAATTTTTTTTAAAGACAGTTATATATAAAGACATTTAGACTTTAAACGGTTATTACACACAGGAAAATGTTACATTTTCAAAGAAATATACCGTAACTATCGTGGTGTCTTGATATGCATGAAATGTTATCAAAAGAACGTTAAGGTTCATAAACCCTCTGCTCACTCATATAAAATGTTGCTTGAACCTCAATGATTTTCCAAAAGAAATATATTTTATGAGTAAATTGCAAACAATTATAGCATAGCTTGTGGGGCAAAATTGGACAAAAAAGACACATCAGCTTGACAAATCTATAAAGGAATAATAGACATTTATATCATTAAGAGTTATCTCTCTTATCAGAATATCAATGAGCCTTAACATTGAAGTCCGTTAATTTTATTAAATTACAATTCAGAATCGCACCAAATATTCCTGGATTTCAGATAAATTTCCTTTGGATTGATAAATACAGGTATTACCGATTTATATTGGAATTTTAAAAAAGCAATGAAGCACCGCATTTACACAATGAGATATTTTTGGGGAAAAATACTTACAATGTATTTATAATAGCCTCAGGTCTTTTACAAAGCTTTGCTCGTTTTTTTGAACCACAATACACATATCAAATATAAAGTATAAAGTTTTCTGAATAAGGTATGGATAAACAAAAATTTTGTTTTAATTTAAAAATTTAAGTGTTTAACCCAATATACATGAAAAAAAAACCCGACTTTCTACATATCATATGTTTTATTGTTGCAACTGAGTCTAGATTTTGCCAAATGCCAATTTCATGTGGCTTCATTGATTTTAGGCAGAATATTGATCTTTGGACTTATGTTTACTAGTATTAAATTTCTAGCGTATTTCTTTTAAGATACCTACAGTTATATACTTGATTTTTGTTAAAATATAAAAAAAAAATTCAAGCTTGCACAATATATTTGAAGATGTTGATGATTTTACATACACATGGATCTATAGTGATGATTTATAGATAAAGAACAGATAAAGTTCGCATTCATTTCTTCCCACATCGAATATTATTTTCTCGAAATGACTGTGTAACGAAATGACTGTGTAACGAATTTATCCGCTGAAGACCTTTTTCAACATAAAAAAAAATATTTGTGCATATTATGAAAATATTAGTTTTAATCCAATAACAATCAACATAAAATATCGTTACGGTAACAAGAAATTTAACTAAACTACCTACGTTAACCGTTTCTTAGCCGCCATTTTTATTTACAATAACAACGCTTCGAACGGAATCGCGTGCAATATTTTCATATTACGCCTCGACGGAAACGTAATATGGAAACGGAGACGTAATACGGAAAATTTCAGGGCGTCATGTGATTAGCTTTTATCCAATCAGTAATCGACAAATTTGTCTGAAGCGGGATAATCATATATACTACTTATTCTTCTTTATAATAACAAAAATAGTAATTCAAACTATATATCATTAGAATTGCAGTACTCAACAATCAGATTGAGTACTCAAGTGATATATCTACTTATTTACCATAAGAAAGGACTGTCGAAATAAGTCAGACTTTTATTTATTACACACTGAATTTTCAACGGATTTTTACGTTAAATATAACCATTTCATGACAAGGAGAGCACGGCGGATATGACCGGGATGCTTACTCCTCTATGGCA